GCCAGTCAGCCAGCCACTCTGTGCAGTGGTTAGTGCTAGTCGTGTCCGCAAATCGCGCGCGGGTGACAAAAGTACCTACTCGAAGCATGAAGTTACCTGTATTTTTCCAACCAGCTGTAAATCCTACAGGTATTTTTGTCATCAATTTAAGAATTGTAATTATTTTGTGTTGGTGGCTTTATTATTATAAAATGAGGACGTTTTTAGCAAAGGTCAGCTTAGGAGTATCCTAATTAAGTTAATAGCAATGTACCTACCTATATAGTTTAAGTTTAAAAAATTTGGCTCTCAAAAGAAATTTCAATCGTTGTACTGTTGATATTTGGCTCTGTTGGCTAATGAGTTTGCATGAATTTAAAGTTGAATGGACCTACCGATATAGTTTAAGTTTAAAAAATTTGGCTCCCAAAAGAAATTTCCACTGTGGTACTATTGATATTTGGCTCTGTGGACTAATGAGCTTGCCGACCACTGGCTTAGGTCATTAAAATAACGATGATTTTGACAGCTGAACTGTTCCTCTTAGAAGTTTTAGGCGAACTGTTTTATATCTCAGCATTAAATTAGAATTTCAGAAGGAATCTTAATGATCCTTTCATCATGCCAAGGGAATAATACATTTCCTGTGATAAAATACATCGTATAAAATAACTTTAATTATTAACAGCTAATAATGGATGGAAAGCATATATGTCAATACACATAACTGACACCAATTGAGGGCTTACTCTGTGGCTCAGTTTTACAAATTTTTACAAATGTTCAGGTACTTAATGCTTCTTATATCTCTGTGGATCAGTGCCTTTAACCCTTTCACAGATGAAGAAAGTGGGTGGAGTTAGAGAGGTTAAGTAACTGACAGGAGGTCATGTTGCTACTGGTCGTCATTGAGCCAGAATGCCCTCTGGCTACCCAGCTCCAACACTCATTCTTTTAACCTTTAGACATGTCATTAGCATGAACATGATTACAAATGCTCTCATTTATTTATAATTTATTGCTAAATACACATCCTTTTCTGTCTAGGATGGTTTATGCTCAATAGAAAATTCAAGTTAATTCACATGATGTCTGGGATAATTGTGAAGTTGAAACAGTAAGGAAATGAGTAAGAGTAATAGTAACAAACTCTTACATAGCTGTTTGGACATGCCAGACACATCTAAAGAATTTTTACTATTTTAATTTTGATTTCTACAACAATCTAATGAAATAAATAATAAAGTTGCACCCATTCTACAGAGTGGCAAACAGCCACAGTTTAAATAACTTGTCTTAGGTAACGTAGCTAATAAACTACGAAAGCTAGATGTGGACCCAATAGGCAGGTGCCAGAATCCATACTTTTTAAAAAAAAATATATGTTTGTACTATTTCAGAGAGAAAGGGAGAGGGAGAGAAAGATAGAAACATCAGTGATGAGAGAGAATCATGGATCAGCTGCCACTTGCATGCCTCCCACCAGGTATTGAGCCTGCAACCTGGGTATGTGCCCTGACCAGGAATCCAACCATGACCTTTGGTTCATAGGTCAATGCTCAACCACTGAGCCACATTGGTCGAGTGTTTATATCCATCTCTTTCACTCTATAGCAGTGATGGCGAACCTATGTCACGCGTGTCAGAGGTGACACGCGAACTCATTTTTTTGGTTGATTTTTATTTGTTAAATGGCATTTAAATATATAAAATAAATATCAAAAATGTAAATCTTTGTTTCACTATGGTTGCAAATATCAAAAAATGTCTAGATGTGACACGGCACCAGAGTTAAGTTAGGGCTTTTCAAAATGCTGACACGCCGAGCTCAGAAGGTTCGCCGTCGCTGGGCTATAGTATAAACTCATTTCCTTTTTCTTCAGTCTGTGCAGTTGAATATCTCAATAGCAAAGTGATTTTATTCTGTTTCCCACAAAATGAGGAACAGAATAAAATCACGTCAACCATACAGATCATGCACAACACTGGCCATGCTGATAGGCTCCATGAAGCATCGTAAAACAGGTTGGCAGCCACCTTTGTTGTGCTGAAAACACAATATTTTGATAACAATAACATGCCTAGTTTCTTCAAATAAAAGATGTTCACAGCCAGATATTTTTTATGTGTTGGATGGCAATAGTTAAAATAAAAAAGATACACATTTGTGCAGATCAATAATAATTTCCAGACAACTTACACATCATTTACGGCTTCTTACTATATTGTGGCAAGTGGTTTTGGTAGTCACTCTAGAGATAGATACAATCATAATATAACAGGGAAAACATAAAATTGATTTTTTTTTTACTGCTCTCATATAAGAGGATTACAAATTATTTCTTGCTTTTCAAGTACATACAACTTAATCTGATGTGTAGTATTCAGGACCACTAAATTCAGCAACTACTTACATAATTTGGAATTTCTCTGAATTATGAATTACTGCATTGAGACAGGGAACATGTTACCTTACAAAGATTAACTTGATGCAGTCATTACAAGTTCATCTCTCCTTTTATTTTGGCTGCATACAAATAGCTGATATGGGTGAAGGACGGATAGTCTTCCATTTTGTGTATAAAACAGTAAAATTTTAATTTCAAAATAAGTAAGATAGGTCCCACATTAAAAATTATATGTACAAATATCAAGCTGCCTATGGAAATAGATTCCTTTTCATTATCCCCCGGAATATGATGACATTTACTCTTCTGCCAGCTGAGGTTCAAATTAGATAGCTCCATATGAGACAGACACCCCGAGGCCTGCCTGGGTCCTGAGGACAAAGGTGATTGTTTCAATTATTTTCTTTGAACGGCTTATGTAGCCTTGGCCTCAGCATGGGGCAAGACATTGGGAGCCCGATGCATGCAGCCATGTAATTATGCATTTAAGTCTATTTTCCTAATTAATTTAAATATGCTTGAGAAGCTTACATGGCTTGACTCTGAATAATCCCGTGGCCTGGTCCCCGAGTGGGCTCTCAGCCCCTGAGGTGAGAGTTGATCACATCTTTTTGAAAGTAGAAGAAACTGAAGGCTCAATATTTCAAAACCTGGAGAAAAAGCTACTCTTATCTCCTATTGATTTTATTTTTTTTTTAATTTTTGGTTAAGATAATGAGGTTGAGAAAGCTGCTGTCAGCCATTGCAAGTTTGACTGATGGTTACCACAGCATAGAAGAATCTGCAGAAATAAACACATTGCCCCTACTCATGTGATAAATGATTCACTAATGAAACCCAGACACGACTGAGAGAAGGTAGGCCCAGAGCTCAGAGGAACAGAATGTCTAGGGGTAGCATTAGTGCCCAAATATCTCCAAGCGTGTGTAGGGGAAGAGGAGAGAACAGGACTGACTGAGCCAACTCTTGAGATGGAGGAACGGCTCAGATGTATTACGGGAGTCTCAGAAAGCAACGACTGGCCTAGTGACCCTCACATCCACCTCTAGGCACCCACAGGCTTAGGCCTGGATCAATGACCCTGCACATGTATCCATGTCTAGGACACCGGGAATTTCTCAAATCCTAGAACATACTGATTCCTGTCCATCCTGTTGTGTCTTCCATTCCGTCTTTGATGAACTCCCAGATGTGCACCGTTTTGAATAAGATGGAGCCCTTGCTGGTTCTCCTCTATGAGCACGTGCTGCTTTCTCATGGTTTGCACAGGTGTGGCTGTTTTCTCTCGTGAAGGGGAGGCCACCTGCCCTCGCAGGCTCTTTCTGCATCCAACCGCGGTGCCCTATGTCATGGACAGGTGCTGGCTCATTTTGCCCTTTGAGATTCTGTTTTGACTTCTAGCTAGATGTTAGTGAGGTTAGGAAGAAATTGCTCTTGCTAAGTCAGTACACAGCAGAGGTTTTGTTTTCTCATTTTTTTAAAAAATGACATCCAATATAGGAAGATCAGTGAAGTTAAATACAAGCTTTCCTCTCTCCCTGAGGACGCAGAGTTCTAAAGAACAATAGCAGTCTGGTCAGCAAGTGAAAGATCCCTGCCTGGCTGGGAAGGTATCTGCGGTCTCTAAGTAAAAGCCAAAAGGTTTAAGGGCAGAGCAGAGAAATTTAAGAATTAAGCCAGAAAATATAAATTGAACTAAGCTAGACTTTACTGATGCAGCTAAATTTTTCCAGATAAGTCATGCTAATAGGTCTATTGTACATATGCTAAACTCATCAATGAATTATAAAATTATTTCATTTTAGGTTATTAATCTTCATAAAAATTGATTTAACTTCTGGTTTGTCTTTTATTTTTCATACTCACACTAAAAAAATGAGGTACCATCTCACAATTATAGATATTGGTTCATGCATCCCAAGCAAAATTCTGAAGTTTAGGTTTGAACATGCAATATATAGAGAGGCAAATACTCTATATGAAGTATCTCAAAGGTACTTGCGATTTCTGATGTTGTTATTATTGTGAAATATCATCTAATATTATCATGAAATATCAGACTCATTTCATAGATGCCCAGGTAGAGCAAGCAATAGCTCCTGTGTATTGGTTAAAAGCTTTCTAAATCGCCAAAACCGGTTTGGCTCAGTGGATAGAGCGTCGGCCTGCGGACTGAAGGGTCCCAGGTTCGATTCCGGTCAAGGGCATGTACCTGGGTTGCGGGCACATCCCCAGTGGGGGGTGTGCAGGAGGCAGCTGATCGATGTTTCTCTCTCATCGATGTTTCTAACTCTCTATCTCTCTCCCTTCCTCTCTGTAAAAAATCAATAAAATATATTTAAAAAAAAAAGCTTTCTAAATTTCTAATGAATCTATGTGCTGTACTGTCTGGTTACGTAAATTTCCCACACTTAAACGGCAGGTAGTAATGCCAGATGTATTTCGTGAATACACATATTGAAAGTAGTCTGAAAACTATATATGAGAGTCTTTGGAATTTCAAGATAGATACATGTAAAGACTAAAATGAATAACTTTCAATTAAAAAATAAGAGTTGTATGGTCTTTGAACCAAAAGCAATAGATGTAAAATAAAATCATGGTGGTACTTACCACAGTGAAATTCATAACTTTCAATATCCAAATTGTCATGGCTAAGTTAACTATCATGGTAACCAACAGCAGAAGGACAAAGAAGTATAAGCACCTCTTTCGCCATCCATAAATGCCCACAGGGTACAGGTGTGCATTCTCAGCCTTTGGCAGGTTATTCTGTTGTGTTGCTAGTATGTATTGTTCTCGTGTCATCTGGAGAGCAAAAAGAAAAAGCATTCAAAATTAAAACCATTGTTTTGTTTTTCTAATCAAAAGACACAAAATACCTAAGAATAATAGGTAGTGAGCGCTCACATCATTATTGCTATGTAATCAAAATAAGTTATTAATTCACTTAATTAAATGTGGTCCAGATGTTATAAATCCCCTCAACTCATTATCATCAATGTAGCCCTTTAAAGCTATTTAATTATTCTTATATCTCTAGGATATATATATTATTTTCAGTCAGGTTTATCTAACCCTAACAGTAGCCTTTTCTCTCAGGAGTCTCTGAAGATACACAATTCTACTTCCAGTTGTCCAAAACCCAACAACTCTATAAACACTCAAGATACCCTTGGAATAATAATAATAATAAAAAATATCCTTTAGGGCAGACAGAGACCACGGTATGACAAGGTATTGGTATGCCTTTATCTAAAAGTGCAGGATACAAGTAGCTCAGTGTATGTGATTTAATAAAACAACAGTGCTTCCGCAAGAACTTATGGAAAGAAGATATGCTTTTATTTGGAATTATATAGTGTAGTTATTTAATGAAAACTTTATATATATATATTATTGATTTTTTTACATAGAGGAAGGAAGAGGGATAGAGAGTTAGAAACATCAATGAGAGAGAAATATTGATCAGCTGCCTCCTGCTCACCCCCTACTGGGGTGTGCCTGCAACCAAGGTACATGCCCTTGACGGGAATGGAACCTGGGACCCTTCAGTCCGCAGGCCGACGCTCTATTCGCTGAGCCAAACCGGCTACGGCAAAAACTTTTCTTTAGAACTTTGCTGGTTATTTATTTTAGTTGTATTTCAATGAGTTATCAGGATGAAACTGAACTCTGAAAGAATGAAACGATATGCTATAATACCCTAAAATGCAGCGGTTTTCAAATGGTGCTAAATTTTTTTAAAAAACATGCAATACCTGACTATTTAGTCAGGGGCACTGACCTCTCTTCCCTTAGATGGTCAAATACAAAAAAAGCAACATTAGCCGAAACCGGTTTGGCTCAGTGGATAGAGCGTCGGCCTGCGAATTGAAGTGTCCCAGGTTCAATTCTGGTTAAGGGCATGTACCTGGGTTGCGGGCACATCCCCAGTGGGAGATGTGCAGGAGGCGGCTGGTCGATGTTTCTCCCTCATCGATGTTCCTAACTCTCTATCTCTCTCCCTTCCTCTCTGTAAAAAATCAATAAAATATATATTTTTTTAAAAAAGAGCAACATTAAACACAATAGCTATATAGTGTTTAATGAATAAAAATTATACCAATTATTTTTGTCTGATTGGCAAAAAATAGTTTTTTGGCATGCTGCAGAACTTTAGTAATTAGTTTAGTGTGCCATGAGATGGAAAAAGGTTGAAAACTGCTGCTACAATATAATATAATGATATAAGCAAAAGTAAGTTTTGGAAAAGGGGTTATATATTGATTTTGGATCTAAATTACTTCTTTCACAAAGAAAATACACTTGTTTACTGTTTGATACAACCCAGAAAGATGAAAAAAGTAATATATATATATGGTATATGGTATAAAATTTTCAGAATAACACATTTATTACCTAAAGGATGAATATTTTAGTTTTAATAAAATGATTTTTTTTATAGAAGAATAAATTTCATTTTCTCTTTAGGTTTTTCTCAGATATCTTTTCTTGTGCATGTCAACTAAGTAATATACCAACAAAATAATAATAAATAAATTATATCAAAATAAAACAAAAAAGAATTACAACAACCTGTCCAGTAATGTAGAATATATACAATAAAATTATTACGTTATGGTTTTTATTCACCCAAACCTACTCCAGATAAAATTTTGAATTGTATATTGAAAAATGCAAAGAACGCAAGTTCTTATTTGGCTTTTCCCATTTTTTTAAATTTTAGAACTATAACTTCAAATTGTATTAATCAATATTAAATATTGTTTTCAATTTTTATAATTAAATTATATAATAAAATAGTTATATACATTAAATCATAACTTTAATTAGAGGTGCTAATAATAATTTTAGGTGATCAAGAACAAATTCTTTCATAATATAAAGAATGGACTCATTTTTATTATCATTCCTACTATTCAAGTTAACATTTAATGTTTCCTTGAAACTAACCAAACAGGTTTAATTCTTAATTAGATAAAATTTGCAGGGGAGATGTGTAACCTATGAACTGCTATGTAACATAAACGGTATAGTAGGTAACAACATGACACTGGGGTTTTCTTTGCCTGAAGATTTTTATTGAAAAATCGCATAGTTCTGGCAGTGGCTGTGATTACAGAACAGACAATAGATTATATGAAGAAGAAAAAAGAGTAACTGTAGGGACCATCACAATGAAAGTAAAGAAAAAGGAACGTGGGTACAGGAGAGTAGAAACCTGCATGTACCTGACTAGCAGGGAGAACTTCCCTTCTGGAGTTGGTCTCTGAAAAATGATATATCAAATCGGGGTTATGTCAATCATGCATTGCCTCTAATCCCATAGTAAAGTACACTTCCTTCCTAAAATCCTCTATTTCTCCAAATTCTATTTAGACATAAAGTGGAGATTAGTGTGAATTTGAAGAGAAATAAAAATGTATTAGGTCTCTGAAATAAAACAAACACAAATTACAGAGAAAGGGATCTTTCAGCAATAGGTTTTTATTTTCAATTTTTATTGAAAACCAAGAGATCTGGAAAAAATATCAAATGCCTCAAACAATTATAAAGATCTAATTGTATAACAAAAGGCCAAGAGAAAAGGTTGTCAAGGAAATATGAAATATTTTGTTATTTGATGAATTTTATTACCTCATCTTACAGATAAATTTAGCATTATTACTTTATATGCCTTCTTCAGCATGAAATACTTTAAGAGCATGTAAATTGCAAAAAGTTTTCTTTAAAAAGCTCTTTATTTCTTAAATCTCACAGAATTTTTTCAAGATCACAAAAGGTTGTAGTCGGTGTTATGGTGCAGTGATATTACCAGCAAAGAGTAACAACATACAACTCTAAGAGATTAAGGAAATGATCCTAAATTTGAAACTTTTACAACCTTTGCCTAAGATGTAAAATGTTGATCCATGTTCAAGTATTGAGCATATTCTAAAATATCTTGGTGCCTTGGCATTAGGAGATTTTTATAATATAGAGCGTTGTTTCACCAAGTGCTATTGTCATTCTAAAGAAATCTATCATAAAATCCACAATTGCATAGATACTAATTTTCTCAGAACACTAAATAGGTGTCCTGAAAGAGAGAGAGATGATCACAATTTCCTGAGAGAAAATACCTTGTACTGAGATAAGCTCTCTGGCTCAGTCCTCTCTATCTCCATCTGCAATATGAATTCAATACCCTTAAGAACCTTTCTTTGAAATTCCTTTGGTATTCAAGGTTGTGTACACTCCTCCTGGGTACTTAAAGTAATTACTACTTTCTGCATCTTACTTTTGCAATTCTATTTCATACCATATTTCATACTGACAGAGCATTCATTACAGTCAAATAACTTCTAAAATACAGTTTTTCTTACTTAATAGCAAGGAAGTCTTCACCCCCTTGGATCAAGATGAGTATTATTCACAATAAGGCAATCTGACTTACTTGTAACCCATTGTAATTCAGATAAAGGCTGATTTAAATGTGGACATTGCAGTTTCTTTATGAAGAAACATACTTTCAATACCCTGATAATGTGAATAATATTTCCAACATGTTACATGGTTATATGAGACATGCCCGGGGAAATAGAATTAAACCTTGTAAATTCATTTTTCTCCAAAGACATGGGAAATCTGGTTTTCAGGAAGGGCTATTTTGTTCAGTAAATTTAATAACATAGCAAATAAAGACTAGAAGAGAATGAAATGTTCTGGAATGATCTTGGGAAATTCTGGTGAAGTCTACTGAGCTGGAGGGAATGTCAGAGATATTAACTAGAGTAGCCGAGAACATTGCTATTTCCCCCTTGCCTCACAGGAGGAGGTGATAGTACCAAAGAAAAGTTCCAATTACTCCAATGTAACTAGCATCATTATTTATTTTATGTAAATATTCAGAGTAGGGCATAGTAATTGAGAGCCTAGGCAGAAGTGGGTCTTCCCTTGACAAAATATGTATTTAGTGACAACAATGTCACTAAATACATATTTATTGTGAATAATACTCATCTTGATCCAAGGGGGTGAAGACTTCCTTGCTATTAAGTAAGAAAAACTGTATTTTAGAAGTTATTTGACTGGAATGAATGCTCTGTCAGTATGAAATATGGTATGAAATAGAATTGCAAAAGTAAGATGCAGAAAGTAGTAATTACTTTAAGTACCCAGGAGGAGTGTACACAACCTTGAATACCAAAGGAATTTCAAAGAAAGGTTCTTAAGGGTATTGAATTCATATTGCAGATGGAGATAGAGAGGACTGAGCAAGAAGGTAAAACAGATCTCTGAGTATTGAAAGGCTAATTAGAGTGGGCTAACTAAAAATTTAAAATAAAGAAGTGAACCATGTGGACCATTTTTTGAGGGGGAAAGAAGAGCAAAAATGGGATTTCACATGAGAGTATGGAGTCAGATGTTGGAGTATTAATCAGGGGCCAGTGCAAGTCTATGTAAAGGGAGGTAGAGAATGCAAAGGAAATAAGGACACTTAGTATGGCGCCAATTTTTGAGGTGACAAAGCTGGGACCAAGGGTCGAGTTAAGCCTTCTCAGAGGTGTGGTGGTGGAGGAACTAGAGACAATGACGAATTACCCAAATATCTGGGTCCCACAAGTAGGGGTAATATGGACAGGCTGTAATTATCATAATCCAACAAGACTAGTTCTCCATCTCATACACTAGACTTCTGACATATTTACATGGGCATATGCAAAGCTAACTGTGCTGTGGTTCAAGTTCGCAGGTGCCTAGTGGGCGGGGGGCAGCACCACCTCCACAGCACACGTCTTCAGAGGCACCTTTACTGGAGATCT